CGTTTTAAAACCTAGAACATAGCATCAAACCAATAATACAGATGACTGGGAGCAATGCAATAACTTTACGTAAGCCAAAATGAATTTGTGATGAAGTACTAAGACTGACTAAGAGTCGTAACAAGGTGTATAAAAATAATGGTCTCATATGAGAGTCGCAGTTATTGGCTAAGTGATATTGATTGGCGGTGGTGAGGTCGCGCGTTCGCTCTTTGCAGGAGCACGCGAGGTGAGAGAGATGTTTTTATTCGTCCGACACGTCCACGGCCGCTCGTCTCGACGATGTGTCGTCCTCCCACGGGACAGCGGCCTTACTTCCGAACGGAGATATTTATAGCCGCCCCAGAAGCCGCTGTTACCTAATGTAACGTTTTATGGTAGCCCTTATTACGGTTACCAGGCCTGTCGTCTACCTTGCATTCGTACTCTACTCTCCAATTTTTATTTATTCAACCGATCCAGATAAATATTGAGTTTTGTTTACTCACTAGAATAAGAAGTGATAGTACCATAGACACAACCTTTCTCCAAATAGCAGGCAACGGTCACTAGCGGCTCGCAAAAATGCCATGTCGAAGATATTCTTTGCAGCAGTCGTAAATTGGGCAAGTCTCTGGGGGTATGGCTCGGCCGCCTCCAGTGCCGCATACGCTAATCGTTGGCGGCCACCCGCCGCGGCGCTGCCTCCTGTACTCGCGCCTCGCTTTCTTCTGTGTACCGCGTCGTAATGGCCCCGGGAAAGCCTCTTTTGTTACGCTACCGATTTGTTATATCTCGCCGCGCTTTTCCGAGATATACCTGCTTTGACTCCCGTAATTGTTCTTTCGAATCGGTGGTTTTGTTGTATATAAAATGCTTTGTCACATAAATCTGTTAAGTTGCTCTTTACATTCAGTTATCTCTTAGCTTTATCGTTAATGATCTACATTCATTAGCGCCATTGAATCGATTTAGAAATGAGTCATCATGTTTGAGTAAGTCTCCTCGTCGTCTTTAGAAAATAAATTATATTCATAAATTCAGTACCTGCGTTGTTTTGTTATAATAGCTAGTCGAGTCGGTTCAAGTATATCATATGTTAGATGCGAAGCCGTATTCGCCACGCTTGGCTGCTTCCCCGGCCGTTCAACTTGCTGTTGTGCTCGGTTTGCAGTTTGCTGCTCGAGAACCGTCACTTCCTACATTCTTCTAACAACATACGTTGTTACTCATAACAGTACTAAGATAATTGTTAATTTCTCTCAACTTAAGGAAAAGAGAAATCTTTGTTTAAAATAAGATGTCAAGAAAAGAACTTAACTACCACATTTTACATCAGTTTATTCTTAATATTTTACTTACTTAATACTTGTTAATGGACTTAATTGGCTTTTGATAATTAATCCATACTAATATTATTAATAGGATTGTAACTGACATTCTCGTACTACACACCATTTATATTATGGATTGCAGCGCTTAATACTAATGAATAAGTCTGTCGCACAAAAATATTGTTGATACGTGTCCAAATAATTGTATCATTATTGTTTGAGATACCTAGAGGTGACATACTTTACTGTGTGACAATTTTCGCCATAAGGGGTTGTTCTCTAGCTCACGATGACTCGGCGACCGCTCGTTACTGTCTCACCTGTCCCACACTAGCCATCCCCCCACAGGCTTGATGGTACGTTGCCACTAATGATCTCGCGTCAACCCATATTTTTATAAACCCTCACTAAATAAATGTCTTTTATTTTTTCTGCTTAGTAATCTAATGCTTAGCTACTAATTACTTAGCTGCCTCTGTATACACGCAACACAATATCTGCAGTTTTTACATTCATTGTGCTAGCAAATATGCATATGATGTAAATAGACTTTTTACTTCGGCGCCACTATTCATCCCAGTTCATTGTTCTTCGAAATTGCTCTCCGCTGAGAATAGTGCTTTCGGGTCTAGCAGTTAGTTGCCTTTTTTCCGACAATATGTGTACCTAAACAATCTAAAGATATTTTCACTGGAAAATTTTGTTAACTGGTTTTTCTAGTGAGCGTATTAAACTTTAAGACATAATAATATTCACACAAGTCATAATAATATTGGTAATATAGAATAAGTTTACATCTGTGATATTACATCGAATTAGTTGTATAGGTTTACACATAAACACAAGAAATACATAGTTAGATTGAATTATCACATTAGTGGTTATCAAGTAAAAGTAACTTTGGCATAAACTGAATATTTCCTCGAATGTCGTGGTGGCCCGGAGGTTTAAGACGCCCACTTCTCATGCATGAGGGTGCGGGTTCGAAACCTACCAATGGCAAGTACCAATGTGACTTTTTCCGAGTTATATGTACTTTCTAAGATTATTTAGACACCACTGACAAATTGTGAAGGAAAAACATCGTGAGGAAACCTGGACTTATAATTTCTAATTATAAGTTTGAAATCGCCAACCCGCATTGAGCAAGCGTGGTGATTAATGCTCTTACCTTCTCCGTGAGAGAAGAGGCTTTGCTCAGCAGTGGGCATTTATAGGCTGTTGATGATGATGAATATTTCCTCTATTCTTCTTTAAATCATGTTAATTAAAATTTAAGTAATTAAATAAAATAGTTCATCAATTATCAATGGGAAAACTTAATCTACAAGTAACACAGACGTTGCATCTACATAATCATAATTAAGCCGGTTAAGCGTTCATAAAATACACATAGGTAGTGCATATTTTTTGCAATCAAGAGCATTTTATCTGGTTAGCAAATAGATAGCCGATAGAATGATAAAGTGTGTTTAGCTGTATCTAGTTGTTTACTCGACAACGGTAAAAGGTTTGCGAGTCCCTCGCGGCGCGGGCCCGCTTGTTTTCATTTCGTTATTTACTTTTAATTTGGCAGCAAGCGGATGATGCGGTGGGTGGGGGCGTGTCGTGTGAATAATTGAGCCGACACAGAGTCGAGTGTCGGTCCGTCAGTGCACTCTGTGGAAGCAGCATCACTGCGGCCACAAGTCATTGTAAATGACAGGTTCCGTACTAGCAATGTTTTAAAGTAATACTACTCAATGAATACCATAATATACTTCAGCTTAGTAGTTAGTGCCCGTGTAGCTTAATTATAGGCAAAAGTAAATTAAATATTTTTCTCATCATCTGATGTACGCGAGACACAATGTGTTTTCTGTTGTGTCTTACATGCCGACAGATAAGAGGTTAATCAGAGCTCTGCAGAGCTAATCTAGAGCATAACCAAAAATTATGCAAAAACAGAGCCCTTCCACCAGTATACATTTTAAACATTTTCAATATATTCATAGAAAATTGTATTTCGTTTCTATCATTTTCGTACCTAAAATAGCATTTAATTAATTATTTAGGATCCAAATAGAATTTTCAACAAACAATGAACTGCAAAGTTTGGTTAAATTGTCAAGTAAAAGAAAGTTAATTATGTTCGCTGGAATGACAGTTTCTGTCCGGATGGACTACCTACTTCCTAAAATCCTTTGAATTTCAGAATAATTGATGATGTTCATTTCTTCCGTTTTTCTGTTTGTACAGGTTTGTTTTATTTACCTGAATTTTCAATTGTTATTTAAAGTGAGGACTTGTTTTTATACTGTTATGTTTATTGAGAAAATAGTACTCAAATCGTCAAAATATGATTCAATTTTAATTATTTTCGTCCAAACAGGTTAAAATTTACTTTTCTATTTCACCCGCTTATAGTTAAAAACTTCACTCCTATAATTCACAAGATCAAATCTCGTAACATTTTGCGCACATACTTGTAATATCATCTTGTTTTTAAGCGTTATATGTAAATGAAAACCGCGCTTTCGAGGTCGGGGGTGCGACGACGTGGCTCGCGTGCTGTAAGACATTAGGTCGCTGACTAGGAGTTCACGGGGGGTTGGCTTTTTGTCTCACGTCTATTAATACCAGTGTTTATGGCAAATTAATTTTGGTGCCATATAACAGATATTATTATAATAATTAAATAGACAATAGAAAGTGCTTACAAAATTATATTAGTTGTTGGTATATTAAATCTACCCATACACTTTTATTTGAAAAACCATTAAGTGTTAGTTACACTTTTCATAACGGCAGAGGTTGGATGAAATCGAAATATTTTCCAAGTTTTATCATTGCTTCGAAATACCTCCAGGGAACAGTCTTATAAATTGGATTCAACTTTGAATCACGCACTTCGATGACATTTTCCTTTGCGTTTTGTTTTTGGAAAAAAGTTGACAAAGAATAAAATTACAATAGCTTGATAATATTTAAGGTTTTATTCCGCGAATTCACACCAAGCTTCCTTAATTATTGAGAGTTCGTTAATTGTTTGGAAGTCGACGATGTTTAGAAACGGAATGTTTGAATTATTGAAAGAAGGAGGGGCTGCAGGTATAATACTGGTCACGTGGCAAACAAAACGAAGCCTCGTGCATTACAAACTCACCTGGACTAATTTTCAGGCCGTTATTGAATAGGACTCTATTGTTTTGTGTTAATTGCCTTCCGTGATTTACTCATAGGTGTTTTACGTTTGCTTTCTCCACAGGATAGCTAGGAGCATTATATATATATATATATATATATATATATATATATTTCAATACGAGTTATTGATATTCAGTTTGTGACGAATTATTTTATTCTGCAAGTAGTCAAGTGGGACATGTGCTTGCGTTTCGCTTTTTTAAACTACTTATGGTTCTGTTTATAAGTTCGAAAAGTAGGACGAAAGTAGTCTGCAAAGCTTTGTGGATGGATGCAGGGCAACCGCTGCAGCAACGGTGTTTGTTGACGAGTCTGTAGGCGGCGCGAGAGGGGCGCGGGTGGCGCGGCCCGCGGCAGGTGCGCGCCGCGCCAGTTCCGCGACTCTCGCCGCTCGAACGTCACGTACTTCACGAGAGACATGTAGCGCCGACTGAAGCTTGCCGGCTGTGAAGTGACTTCGGTGTTGTGTTTTGAAATTGAAGTGACTATACTGTTAGTACAATGGTGGTGTTAGAAGGCGGCGGGGCCCTCTTGGAGCCGGCACTGGCGCTGGACGGTGCGGCCGCCGCATGCCTAGAACGCGCTTATGCACAGGCGGATGTTTCGCTAAAACTTTTACCAAAACGTTATATCAATTTACACCAGTGGCTGTCGCCAGTGACGACTTCTGTCACAGCCGCCGCTGCAGCTGGAAAAGATCTAAAGCTTCAAATTGTAAGAGACCCTTTATTCATATTGTATGTATTGTTTACCTTGAATATGTAAATACTAGTAACTCGTGCGACATTATTTATTGTTTACTGGTTCGGCATAACAAAACATGCTCAAGAGATAAGTTTATTTATATTACCTTTCTATAGCAGAGCTTTTAATAAGATCAAAAATCGGATATCACTTTGTTATCAGTGACTTCCTGACCTTTAAAGTTCACAACATTGTATACGTTACATCCGAAGTACGTAGTTAGCTCTACCCATAGATGTCATGCAGCTAATATAATAAGCAATAAATAGACCCAGTGGTTAGTATTATACTATTTATTTATACATAGATTCCTATACTGTTTGCATTTACATATTTGCCTTATTTGCCTAGGTAGCTCTCGTTCCTTCGTGGGGTAATTATGAAACTATGGACTTGTTGTTTTCTAGTTTCGATGCAAGTTTAAATTACAATTTTACACTTTTTAAGGGTTCGTATCTGTGTATATCTCCAGGGTGTATCTGATAAATCTGATAAACACTAGAATAACGATTATCACAGGTATTTCTGTTCACTGTAACACCAAAAACGAAAAACAAATAAGTTGAAGTAAAACTCTCATACAAAAAGCATTTTTTTGCATTTTCAACAATTATGAAGACACAGAATCTTTCGGTCGCGAGTCAGACTCTCATTTGGTTGATAAGGGTGTAAAATGCAATTTAACATACCTGCAACAAAGCGATCTGGTCATCAGATCAAGGTACTGATCACAGTACCTTGATCTAAAATCTAAAATAACTTAAATATTGTAGAGTAATTATAATATTATTGCAGACAATACAATAAAATACTTATTAAGTACCTACAACATGAATACATATTCCATTCGTTTAATAAAAGCAATAAAATATTGATAGTTATTATGTTATGCGAGCTATGTTTGCGCTTATCCTTATTTGGATGCAATATTAGTTCTTGATACATTACATGACATGATAAAAAGCTCTGAAAACTAAAAATATTTTTTTCTATAAGGATAGGAAAATATAATCTTAGTAATTTAAAAAATGTGTATTTCACATTTATCATTGCGTCAAACAAAACTAATAAAAAAACAAAATTTCACACAAAGTTAACTTTTCGCGTCTAAACTATCAAGGAATCTTCTTTTATTGAAGTGATAACAAAGCAGTTTTTAGGTTTCTTATGTATATCGATTTACCTAATTTTATCTATCCTATTTGTCGCCCTATCACATAATCGATAGTATGTGATAGGGTGACAAATAGGCTCACTACATGTTTAATTTAGTTACGTAACGATAACGATCTCTACGTGGGACCTGCACTTAGTAGGTTTCTAAACATATCCGAACTCCAATCCAACCAAAGACGTACTAAACCAGCTAGCTCACTAGAAGGCATATTTATTTAAGTTGTTGACTGTGTTAAGCAAACACATACCAATTTATATTATTTACATCTAAAAAATTTCAACTCTGCTCTTTCTATACAGAGGTATGGTTTTTGTCTTAAAATTGCCACCCCCTTCGCATTACCAGAATTTACAAAGGACCCATTATCTGGGTTTGATTAAACGCTTGCAATCTTTACAAAATCTTATTTTGTACTTGGATTTGTTTTGCTTACAATACAGCCAAAGCAAGTTAAGCAAGTAAAGTCTAGAAAATAGGCTAACGTAAGTATTGCCACTTTCCTCATTGCTAGTTATGTATGACACCATTGTTACGCGAACACGACGGTGGTCACAAGGCCACCTATTCGATCCCTGGGGTAGGATTAAGAGTGTTAACAGATTTCTTGATTTCTTGCATAAAATTCACTATTTGGTTTTCAAAGTTTACGCCAGTTGTAGGTCCAACGTGATAGACACCATTTGATTTTGTAGTTAGTGGTGCTTGCGAATTTGCGACAAATGGACCGAAGAGGCAACCAGGGAACACTTTTTAACCACATAAAAATTATACCGAATGCCTACAAACTCTGAAACGTGGTGCAAATGATTTTTCACCTTTATGCTTCGGAAAGCACAAAGCTCTTCGCCGTGTGACGCGTATACTTTATGGTGTGTACATTTAACATAACTACGTGTATTGTGTATACTTACTATATTCTGTTCAGTTAATTTGAGATTAATCTTGAATTAATCAAGAAACCATCATTATTATAGGAAAACAAGGCCAAAGAATTAAGATCCTGGCCTGGTATTACATTTAAGACATAAGAGTAATTTAATGACATGTAGCAGTAACCAACACAGCTGTGGTTGATGTAGCTGCGAATTTTGTTCGCCATCAAAGTAGACGTGGTCGTGGGCCGCCCGCCGCCGGCCATATCGCATCGCCCGATCTTTCCGTATTCATCGCTGCGCCCGGAAATCGCTAAATGTAGAGATACTCCAACCGCCTTGCCTCCTGGCTTTTTGAGAGTTCACATTTAACGTCGAAAACTTACATTACACAAATTGGAAAGTCTTTGTATTTCTATGTTATTCATAGCGGGTTCCTTACAAAAACTTCAGTGAAATAAAATTCGACAAGTAAATGACCAAAGCGATCTTAGATGGATAGATATAAAATTACGAAGTGCATTTCAGAAAATTAACGTTCCTTCATTGCAGGTTCTAGTATCTGTCGTAGAGCTAGGTAGAGTACGCGACTATGCGATGCGTACAAGTTGGTTCTCCGCAATGTGCAACGCTCGTTTATTTGCGACTTCCTAGCTCTTTTGTTACGCTCTGTCGCCTGTGTCTGCTTTGAAAAATTGTAATGCAGCGGCATTGTAGACGCGAGCTGCTGAGATTGTGCACGTAAACGATCTACCTATATATTACGCCACACTGTCGAAATGTACGTTCCCGAGACATAAGTTTTACAGTTATTGTGTTATGAGCATTACCAGAATAAATCAAAGCTGCGAAAAATCGCTACATATTCATTTGTTGTGAAATTTTCTTATCTTATACTCATATACCTACTTAATTTACTAAGTTATTATCAAGCTGAAAAGTATCTATGTTTATTTGACGTGCTAATCTCAGGAACTACTGGTCCGATTTAAATAATTATTCGAGAAAGGCATAACACAACACACTACAAATAAGAGCCGAGCAGAGCGGGTGAAACCGCGCGGGAGTTGCTAGCAGGTGCTAAATTTTTCCCCCCTTATTTTTACCCCTTTTTCCCCCCTTAGGTGCTAAAACTTTTTGTGCACTTACATACATACGGCTTTCTCCCATGGGGGTTAATTACCAGTCAGTGTGAATTAAGTTTAATTGCATACAATTTTCGAAACTGATGTCAATCATCATATTCTGTCCATTTTCTATTGGTAGAAGTTGATTTTAAGTTCATATTTATTTTCGTTATCATACAATTTCTGAATTGCTTGGAAGTTTTGGACGTTTTGAAGCCTTCTGTTGGAAAAGGATCTTCTTGTGTTTGTGAATAACATGACCCGCGGGTACTCGTATGTATGGTGAACAGAGTATGTTGCGAGGCGACGGCGGTAAGTAAGCATTTGGTTTATCCAGTGCGATTTATCCCAGTTTGCCGTTTAATTCAATATCATCACCAGGGTTCATTTCATAACAAATGTAGGTACTTGTTTGAATTAAATTTATGTGTACCATGTTCTGTACTAACGGGTGAACCTATTAGGCCTTGATCCTGTTCGTTGGTCCATTTATAATGTAGTTGTTTTTCATTAGTGTTGTGATTTTTTTCGTATGACAGGTATTTTTTTACAAATTTGTCAATTTTATCGTAATAATTGTATCGCAATATTAAATTCTAATTATACAAATCAATAAGTATTGGCTTATACACGCGATTACCAAAATAGATCTTAATAACGTAAGACTTTAACCTGAATTTATAAAATATGTCTCCCATGTTATGCGGATATGTGTATGTGCAAACACAAAGACGGCGAAGGCGAGGGCGGAGTACGAGCTGTGGAATACATTAGCCGCCACTAGCGGTGTCGGCGTTCTTACCCCATAATATATTTCACTGGCGGTCATTTTCGACAATTAACCACATAAAATAAGTGAAATTATGCATGCGGCCGACGACGGCGTATATCACGTCCAGTTACGGGCCACGATACCTAACTACATTCATTATTCAAAGAAATGTTTCGCTCGACCAGGTCGCGTCCGGAAGCGCCGGCTCTGTTCGTGTGATTGATGGATACCTCTTTATTTTTTTTAAATCTTTGTGTATAATGCGTCGTTTTCTTGTTGTTCGTCAATAAACTGTTTGCTTGTTATCACCATCACCATATTTTAATATATGTTTCCGTAGATCTTCTCTGTAAGAATACCGTCATCATTCGGCGAAAATAATAACTAATTGTCTAATTGTCACTAAACGAATGCAAACTGTACACGTAGTCGCAATATAACTATATTTACATCTTGAAAAACTCAATTATTTCCTAAAAACAACATTGACATTGTTTTGTTCTAAGTTCTTTTCGGTGGTCTATAAGTTGTTGTCACTCGATAGCATGTTTTGTTTTGACTAATTCATAGTAAAGTGTGGGAATGTCCGAAAATCAACGAATTTAATTTTTATAGGGTGTTTTGTACTTTCGGTTACGTGGCCTTTTTTACGCAGTTTGTTCTAAAGTAACATTACCCGCGTTTGTTAAATAAACATCATTTACATGTATGCGAGAGCTCTAAATAGGTACATATTCAGCGTAAGCCTTTACTTCAACCGGACCTCTCAAACCGTCGGATTCATTTTCTCTTGCAATTTCCTACAATTTCCGGGCAACGTTTGGTACGTTGATGTGCTGGAAAATTATTTTCGTGTACATCTTTCTTGTACGGATAAACATTATAGATAACGTTATTTCTTACGTATTGGCACTATTCTTTTAACGTTTTGTTAGTAGACTTTGTAAACAAATGATAACAAGGTATGTACATTACGTAGCGAGGAACGTTGTATGATCATGGATCGATGAGTAGTGTCATCA